AATTTACTTTTTAAAAATAATTTCATTCAAATGTTGGCCGCAGACAGAACATAACAGTCAATATTGAGCGCTACCGCACCACGACAACAAACTTTTTGTTTAAAGTCCGTGTTGTAGGCAACATTTGGTTTCAGTAAGTTATCGTGTGATATCACACCTGGATTTTTTTCTTTGGGGTTATGTGAAGCCAAAAGTCTTCGTCGATAAGCCAGCTATGTTTCGAAACTTGGAAGCCAACATTACACGCGTAATTCGCGCATTGCTGGAAAGAGCTATTGAAAATTGGACCTTCCGAATGGACCACCAACAGCGTAGTCGCGGCTAATATTTGAAGGAAATTATTTTTAAAAAGTAAATCTCAGAAAACCGAATTTAATAAATATCAGATTCTGATTTGTAAATTCCATAACCCTTTATATACACTATTTCGGCAATTTGAAAAACATTAGAAATACTTTTGTATCTACAAAATATCTTTGTGAACAAATCACTCACTTTAGAGGAAAGCCAGACTGGCTTCAGATTCGAGTTCAAGGTACCCAAATACTGTAGCGACCGCTGATATAGTCTAATTAAATTAAATATACTTACAGCTCTTAGTTCCGTACAAGAAATTAAAATAATATTAAGAACAATTAAATTAGCAAAAGTCAGACTAAATTTTTTAAAAATCTTCATTGCGATACCAAATCACAATATTTATACGTAGTTCCTATAAAAACGCTTCAAATGGACTAAATAGTCTAGATTTATTTTTTAACTGTTTCAGTTGCTATCAAATCAAAAATCATTTGTGACATGAAACATCCATTATACAAATTGTAGCATTTTTCATGCATGATTTCGGTTAATTTTTTCTATTAGGGCTATTCACGATCCGGTGCAAATGGCCTAGCATCATTGCATTGCAAATTTGTATTGCAAATTATTTGCAATACACAAACAAAATACACGCATTTGCATTTGTCATGGCTTGGCAAATTTGCAATACCGAAAATCCATAGCATAAAAATGCTATGCATTGCATTCATAAAGAAAACCAAAGCTGATGCACAAAAATTGTTTTGCAAAAGCTTTACCATGACAGTTTAATAAAGGTCGCTCACAATCCATGGCATATTTCTGCAATTGCATAAATTTGTCAGCTCTTATGCACCGAATCGCGAATAGCCCTATTATGTATCTGTTGGCAATCTGCATGCCATTTACGAAACACAATACCTTCGAACGGCGAATTTTAGCCCTGTAAACCGATGACGTTAGCAACTTTCGCCCAAAAATTTCGCCAGTAAAAGACAACTACGACGACAACGAAAGCAGCTGCTTTTGACAAGGTATAGTTCGAATTTTTACAAACAACAAGATTATTAATTTTTTACAAAAACTAATGCAGTATTTTTCAATTTCGATTTAAAACTGTAGGTCCCTCCCATTTGTGTGAAAATATCAAGGCGCTCGCCACAAGTCGCCAATCTGTTATTATTGTTATTATTATTATATTACCTCAGTGTATTTCAAAAATACTATTTCTTAAAAGGCCTTAAAATAAAGAAATTTTAGTTTTTGGGACTTTCATCTTATATTCGGCACTATGTTTAAATACCATTAGGCACATTTTGAAATTCCATCCCTGGCCACAATGGATCGTATTTTGCCGCTGCCGACAGCGACGACAATAGAAATAAGTCTATCGTCGCGAACGGTCGACCGGCGAACTTTGTCGTTTGCTTTGGTTGTGCGCGTTCTCATATGCGTCAGTGTATTTTAGTTTTTACAGCAAACATTCGCCGTTCGCCGGCATTGTGTTTCAACGGCAAGGGTATTGACGTTGTACGGGTTGCATGACTTGCAAACACACAACAACAAACACATGGGAAACAACATTTCCTATCCTAAGTATGCAACGTTTTAACCCCTGCAAATATTTAGCAAAAAAACAAAGCAAGATAAATTCGACCCTGTGCATAGAAAATTTTGCGATTTTGAATACGAGTAAATAGTTCATCTTAAAGAAAAAAAGTAAACATTTATTTCATATTAAAATGAACAATCGAGGTATTTATTGCAATAGTATTTGTTCCAACTTATTGCATATTATTTATTAACTCAAAATATTTTTTAGATTGTGCTTTAAGGGTGGGTAACTCTGTAAATTTTGGTGTGCTGACTCAGTAACTCCAACTCACTTTAATGAGTCAGCACAGTGAGCTGGCACAAGTGTGCTATCGCACAATTGGTATGTACATCGAAATTATTGATGATGTTAGTAATCGAAATCGATGTAGAAAAGGTTATCCTTAGCTTCTCTTCGTAGCTGGCCGGCAAAATTTTTGAAAGCTGATTTCAACTGGTGAGNATATCAAAAGGGCATCTAAAGCGTCGACATCCTTATTTTGGCTATCGTCCAGAGCAGGGATGGGCAGATTTTTGGCTCTTGAAGCAGTCAAAGAGCCAGAAAGAGCTACGCAAGAGGTAAATCAGTTCTCAGGGTAAAGAGCGTGTAACAAATAGATTAAAAGCATCATTTATATTAGTGATGAGAGTCGGAGTACAAGAAACTTTAATACACCTTTCTTCTCTCTTCATGTTGGCTCTTGATTTTACCCCTCATCTAGCACCTAAATGAGCCAAGTCGGCTCCTAAGTTCAAAAGGCTCCTGGGAGCCACTTTGCCCATCTCTGGTCCAAAGCATCAGAAATTCTAAGTTCCTGTTTTGAAGTCATCGTTTACGATCCGATTGTTGCGTTTTTTAAAACATTGACCTTTTAAGAAGATTTTGGGGAAATATGCATAAACATTTGCCATCATTTAGTTTAAGATAATAATCGTAAAAGATATTTTAAGATATCAACCATTTTTATTGAGCTAATGGTTCATATCCCAGTGATCGCGATGAAGAAGTCTGGTGAGGAAATGTGATGATCTACCTATGGATCATGATTCAATAATACAACGTTAGATAATTATTGACAGCTGCGGTTTGACACTCCCTTACAAAAGGTTGCATTTACGAAGGACAGAGAAAGGCGAAGAATGAAATCTCTTGGTGCGAAAATGGTAGTAGAAAGTACGCAAAGTAGGCAATTAGCAGTGAAATTCCTTTTGTAAATTCTAATGTATTTGCAGGAAATCTGGCATTTTAAACGAAATATTGAACGTAATACTGATATTTCTACGTGAATTGCGTAATTTATGTGCTATTTAGCTGTATAAAAACTGCAAAATGACTCAAAATCAAAATAAGACTACTATGAGATTGATGTAAACATCCAATTTAAAAACAGTTTATGTTTTCATNTTTTGGCTCTTGAAGCAGTCAAAGAGCCAGAAAGAGCTACGCAAGAGGTAAATCAGTTCTCAGGGTAAAGAGCGTGTAACAAATAGATTAAAAGCATCATTTATATTAGTGATGAGAGTCGGAGTACAAGAAACTTTAATACACCTTTCTTCTCTCTTCATGTTGGCTCTTGATTTTACCCCTCATCTAGCACCTAAATGAGCCAAGTCGGCTCCTAAGTTCAAAAGGCTCCTGGGAGCCACTTTGCCCATCTCTGGTCCAAAGCATCAGAAATTCTAAGTTCCTGTTTTGAAGTCATCGTTTACGATCCGATTGTTGCGTTTTTTAAAACATTGACCTTTTAAGAAGATTTTGGGGAAATATGCATAAACATTTGCCATCATTTAGTTTAAGATAATAATCGTAAAAGATATTTTAAGATATCAACCATTTTTATTGAGCTAATGGTTCATATCCCAGTGATCGCGATGAAGAAGTCTGGTGAGGAAATGTGATGATCTACCTATGGATCATGATTCAATAATACAACGTTAGATAATTATTGACAGCTGCGGTTTGACACTCCCTTACAAAAGGTTGCATTTACGAAGGACAGAGAAAGGCGAAGAATGAAATCTCTTGGTGCGAAAATGGTAGTAGAAAGTACGCAAAGTAGGCAATTAGCAGTGAAATTCCTTTTGTAAATTCTAATGTATTTGCAGGAAATCTGGCATTTTAAACGAAATATTGAACGTAATACTGATATTTCTACGTGAATTGCGTAATTTATGTGCTATTTAGCTGTATAAAAACTGCAAAATGACTCAAAATCAAAATAAGACTACTATGAGATTGATGTAAACATCCAATTTAAAAACAGTTTATGTTTTCATAAGTTAAATATGCTTCATATGCATATACAAATAAACATATTGCACAAAAATTTATACTTCTATTTCACACCAAAGCTACACTGTTTCCATGTAAATTTGCAAAGAAGCAACACGGTGCCACTGCTAAGGGAGCGGTGCGAGAGAGACAACTGTGAGTTTATCGAACCTCGTATTATTGAATCATGCCTATGGATAAATTATTGTTCTTTTTCCACAAAATTTTTTGATTAGAATCGACCTCTTTTCATTAGAAAAGATGTCTGATGAGGAAATGGGGTGATCTACCTATGGATAAATTATTGTTCTTTTTACACAAAATTTTTTCATTAGTAACGAACTCATTCTTAAGAAAATTTTTTTAATATCTTATTACATTAAACGAGCAATTCTTGTATATATATAAATATATATATCCATAAGGTTCTCGGAAACGGCTCTAGCGATCTTGATGATATTTTGTACACAGATAATATTTTGGATTTTAAGGTTATCTATTCCAAATTAGTTCCAAATTAATTAGAACATCATAATAAGGGTATAAAATGAAAGGTATTTTAAAGATCACTAATTCAAAAATATTTTTAATAGGGTTGCCACCTAATTTTAATTTTTTAATTTTTTGTTTAAAAAATATTACTATTCATGGGAACCACGAGAAGGTTCTTAAACAATGCTTTCCCTATATACAAAATGTTATTCCTTAGGATAATAGTGTAGGGTTGCTATCTATTTTCGATTCTACACAATTTATCTAAACCATCGCAATATGCATATCAAATGAAAGGTATTGTTAAGAAATTTGAACTGAAAATATTTTCGCTTCCATGTAATAAAAATTTTTATTTTGTTAATTTCAATCAGAATTTTTTTGTATGTATACATACTACATATACGCTTAAGATATGTACTATTCATATAGGGTTGCCACCTAAATTTTAGAGTAACAAATCTATTTAATAGATATCGAAATACAAATTTTTTTTTAAAGCTATCCAAATGACAAGTATTTGATATCCCTTGAAGACTTTAAAAAGTATATGCACTCTGGGCAAACCTCGGTCAACCTGGTACTAATTGTTAAAAAGCCATAAATAACAAAAACAAACTTTAAGATATCCGTAAAACTTTTTTATTGAAATAGCCTAATGGTGATATTGTTTTTCCTTGCAATTAAGGGAACGAAGGCTATTGTGGATTCAGTGGCTAATAGGTACCCCCTTGTTACCGCCGCTCCATTAGGATACTTTTAAAGTAATTTGCATATTATCCCTAGTGGGTACTTGTACATACATAATTTCACTACTGTAAATTTCCAAACATATGTACATAAGTATTCATTTCATTGTTTTGTCATTTTGAAACGGTAAAATAAGAAGTCAAGAATGGATTAACGTTTAAATATGCGAGTTCAGTTCGCACGCAAAGGCTGATACAAATGTTTTTAAAGTAGTTTAACATAAAATACACATCATTACTACTGTGAAAAGTTGTTTCATTGAAAGCGAACTCCTGAAATTACAAATCTTTAAAAACATTTTTAACTATCGCGCTGCGCGTACAAATAAAATTTAATAAGTAATCGAATTACATACATATAACTACAATCCGAATGGCTGACGAACGTGACTCTGGCAATGAGTACAATTGTCTTAAATGCAGTGNCCGAATGGCTGACGAACGTAACCCTGGCAATAGGTACAATTGTCTTAAATGCAGTGAAAAAGATGATAACCGCATGGTGCAATGCGATCAATGCGACAAGTGGTATCATTTCTGGTGTGTCGGGGTTAATAGCGGAATAGAAGATCTAAGCTGGTGTTGCGATAAATGCGATCCCCTAGCTTCTACCGCAACTACGAGTGCTGCAACTCCTCCGAGCACAGCACAAATTAATATGGTGCCGACTTATAATTCAACTTGTCCGCAATCAACATCTTCGCCTGCACATGACGCATCGCTACCGGTCACTACTGCTCTAATTTCATGGAGTGCAGCAGATGGCCATGGAGAGGCAGTTACAAACGCGGTGAGTGCAGCTGATCAGGTAGTTACAACTACCCACAACTCGAGATCCATGCAGGCGTCGGTTTCAACCGCCGCAGGCAATCAACGCTATCCACCTGCAACATTAAATGCACGTCTATCGAGAGACGTCACAACTACAACTTGTTCATCGCAATACTTCCGACTACACGCCGAAGCAGTCAGCAGCCAGGTACAAAGCGTAANTCTATCGAGAGACGTCACAACTACAACTTGCTCATCGCAATACTTCCGACTACACGCCGAAGCAGTCAGCAGCCAGGTACAAAACGTAAACGACCTGGAGCTACGTCTAGCCATTCTGGAGGAAGAGAATTTGATTAACCAAACATATCTACAGAAGAAGTATGAAATACTGTCGCATTCGCAAGGTGGTGCAGCCATGGGCGTTTCTGGGAGCAGAATTAGAACATCTCCAACACCAGCACAAATAGCAGCAAGGCAAGCTATTCCGAAGGAGCTTCCGCATTTTCATGGCACTCCGGAGGAATGGCCCCTTTTCATTAGCAGCTTCGAGACAAGCACAGAAGTCGCAGGCTATTCAAATGCTGAAAATTTAATGCGGTTACAAGCGTGCTTAAAGGGTAAAGCCCGAGAAATGGTACGAAGCAAATTACTATTGCCAACAATGTTTCCGGAAAGGGATCCGTACGATAAGTCGAAAATAAAAATGTCATGAGAAATGTCGAAATTTAAAAATTTTTTAAATCTCGAAATAATTTTTAACCGAAACGTAAAATGTTGAAATTGTATCTATGCTTTCGAAATGAATAAGGTCGAAAAAATTCTAAATGCGTAAATTGTCGAAAAAAAGTCGAAAAAGTTGAATGTGTGAAAAAAATAAAAATTAAAAGTGTTCTGAGTAGATTTTCAAATGCTCTAGAGTTCCTAAGATGGAAAAAGAAAGTTCTGCAAAATTACGCAGAAAAAAATTTTTAACGTGTTATTTAAGGGTGTATAATGAAATCCCAAAATACAAAATACAGAAATACAGAATCCCGAAAGACATTATCCAGACACGACCAAATCCCGACCTGACATAATCCAGACACGACCAAATCCCGACCATACATAATCCCGACAAGACACAATCCCGACCATACATAATCCCGACAAGACACAATCCAGACAAGAAATCCCGACAAAAAATCCCGACAAAAAATCCCGACAAAATATAAAAATAATTAAAAAATCGCGCAATTTTTTAATTATTTTTATATTTTGTCGGGATTTTTTGTCGGGATTGTCTTCTGTTGTACTCAAAAATAATGCATAAAAGACACAGTTGTTGTTATTGTTGTAAGGGCTTACTTAGCACTTAATTGTCCGCAGGCTCAACCAACGGTAGGCCCAGGAGATTTGATATTTCGATGAGGTATAACCAGAGGGAGAGGGGGGATGTTAGTTGAGTTGGNTGTCGGGATTGTCTTCTGTTGTACTCAAAAATAATGCATAAAAGACACAGTTGTTGTTATTGTTGTAAGGGCTTACTTAGCACTTAATTGTCCGCAGGCTCAACCAACGGTAGGCCCAGGAGATTTGATATTTCGATGAGGTATAACCAGAGGGAGAGGGGGGATGTTAGTTGAGTTGGATTGAGTGAGCATGTGAAGAGGTGGTTGGTGTCAAAGGGGGAATCTCCACATGCTGGACACTCATTTTCGATGTTGGGAGGCGAGTTGGGCCATCTCGTTGGGGTATCTCGTGGCAGTTGAAGCTCACTCTCGTTCACAGGTGGTGATTGGCACTGATGACGGCATTCACTTGACTGGAGTTTGTAAATACCGTTAATAGCCTGTCAGTACAGTCCCAGTCCCAGGGGTGCTGTGCGTAGTGCTGGACCTGGTCCTTCATCTCAAGCAAGTTCGAGTGCTGACAACTATAGCATCTTACTGGGAGAATTTCGGCTTCACTGTGGATGTGATGTTCTGGCGACATCAGAAGACATCCTCTGGTTGTCCAGTGTGTTGTATTGTAGCATGCCTTTAGTTTCATTAACTGTGACCCAACTGTCCCCGGCGAGCACACAGGTGCTGCATAATTTAGAACCTGACGGCTTTGTATGTTTGCAACACCGTTTCTTTGTCTTTGGCCAAGTACTGCTGAATTGAAGACTACGGCTCTGTACTTTGTTGGCAATTTCGGTTGTATGCGCTGGGAACGAGAGCTAGATCTGACAATTTTCCGGTTATTCACCGTTGGAATTAGTTTGCCATCGACGAGGATACGCAGCTTTCGTTCTTGTGGTAAAATGGTTGCCGAGAGGGTTAGGCTCCTTGCAGTGAAGAAGCGAAAAAATGTGGAGTGGTAACCGTTTATATTTAAGCATAAGTCATCAATTTCATTTCCGGACGCATTGTACTTTTTTTTTGTCTGGGTTGTGTCTTGTCGGGATTTTGAATTGTTGGGATTTGTCTTGTCTGAATAATGTGTTATCTGTATTTTATTTGGTCGGGATTTTGTTATGTCTGTATTATGTCCTGTCTGGATTTTGTATTGTCTGGATTTTTAAAAATTGTCTGGATTATGTCTAGTCGGGATCTTCAAAGTCGGGATTATGGAGTGCTCCCGTTATTTAAATTGATTTTAACTTTTTGAAAAGATGGCAACTCTCTGAAAATATTTCTACAATAAAGCATTCTCGTTTGATACCCACATTAAAATATTTCGTTTAAACTTTTTCAAAGAATTGATTTTAACTTTTTAAACAGATAGCAACCGTCTTAAAGTATATTTAGTTATCAATTAATTGACTTTTACTTTTTTAACAGGCGGCAACCCTATTACAAAATACTTCCGAAATTTATAGTTTCTGAACCGTTTTCGCTTGCTAATATTGTGTTAAACTTGTTAATTAATCGATTTCTACTTTTGAAAGAGGTGGCAACTCCAAAAAATATTTTATATGTTAGTATATTATATCTATATTCCAAATTTAGTTGAAATATATCCAGACGATTTAGCGTGAACGAACAACAAACATACTCACTCACAAACTTTCACATTTATTATATTAGTACATATGTAGGATTAGTGGAATTTAACTTAAATAAATCAACCTGTTGAAATAATGTAATGAATGATGTGTAAAATTCGCGCGAAGGTCCCTCCTATAAAAGATAAACTCGATGCCCTTATAGATTTTGCGCTTTGTGTACGCAACGTGTACTCTACGATGGAATCCTGTCACATGGACGCGTATATGAATAATCCCATGCTAGTAAAAGAGTTGGTGGATAAATTTCCCAGCAATCACAAGCTTGCTTGGGCTATGCAACCAAAATCACGACGCGAACCCATAGTGAAAGTGTTTAGTGATTGGCTTTATGCGCTCGCCAAAGCGGCTAGTCAGGTAGTCGGCTTTACCAGCCCGAAAAAAAGCGGGATAGTAAACACGCACGTACAGTCTTCTGGGGCACAACGAAATGCGAGCTGTGCTCACTGCAAGGCTGACGGACATCGAGTTGCACAATGCGAGGAGTTTAAAAAGCTGAGTCCAGACCGCAAATGGGAGGTTGTCCGTAGCTTAAAGCTATGTCGCCAATGCCTGAACGCTCATCGTCGGCGTTGCTTCGTAACAAGGACTTGCGGCTTAGACCGCTGTAACGCCAAACACCATCCCCTTCTGCACGGGAACACTACTTCGTCCGCACGAAATACTCAAGAAAACTCTACTGCGGTCGCCACTGGTAGCGTGAATTCACACAACGACCCAAGGGAAAACGCCTCTTCCTACTTTCGCATTCTACCGGTTCGTATATATGGTAACAATAACTATATTGACACTTTTGCCTTTCTAGACGAAGGTTCGTCGGTAACCCTCATGGAAGAAGAAATATTTCAGCAACTGAACATAGCAGGAGTGCCTGATCCATTATGTCTTCGTTGGACGGGCGACAATACCCGTAACGAAGAGTCATCCGTTAGAACGTCACTCAACATTAGTGGCAGATATAACGGCAAAGTGTTCAACATTATGGGAGTTCACACCGTGAACCACGCCACGCCGCGTCACGTCGCCACGGATTATCCATATATGAAAGGCCTTCCCTTCCCATTAAGTCCTACTTCAACGCGAAGCCAACAATACTCATTGGCTCCGATAATTGGCAACTGGCCGTANGTGGACGACTTTATTTATAGTGAGAACACCGAACAGGACGCCATAGAAATTGGGAAAGCAGTGAAGCATATACATGCCTCAGCTGTGTTTATTATCCGCAATTGGCCATCAAACTCCGCTGCAGTTCTCGAGGAAATGGACGGAGGCCGCGCTAGGGCCCAGGCACCATTAGAGTTGAATTCAAGCGAAANCGCTGTAACGCCAAACACCATCCCCTTCTGCACGGGAACAGTACTTCGTCCGCACGAAATACTCAAGAAAACTCTACTGCGGTCGCCACTGGTAGCGTGAATTCACACAACGACCCAAGGGAAAACGCCTCTTCCTACTTTCGCATTCTACCGGTTCGTATATATGGTAACAATAACTATATTGACACTTTTGCCTTTCTAGACGAAGGTTCGTCGGTAACCCTCATGGAAGAAGAAATATTTCAGCAACTCAACATAGCAGGAGTGCCTGATCCATTATGTCTTCGTTGGACGGGCGACAATACCCGTAACGAAGAGTCATCCGTTAGAACGTCACTCAACATTAGTGGCAGATATAACGGCAAAGTGTTCAACATTATGGGAGTTCACACCGTGAACCACGCCACGCCGCGTCACGTCGCCACGGATTATCCATATATGAAAGGCCTTCCCTTCCCATTAAGTCCTACTTCAACGCGAAGCCAACAATACTCATTGGCTCCGATAATTGGCAACTGGCCGTAACGCTTAAAACTAGGGAGGGCAGCTGGCATCAACCTATAGCTACAAAAACGAGGTTGGGCTGGGCCATACAAGGTCAGCGCGGTGGTACGTCGTCGAACACATGGTTGAACATACACTCATGTGCGTGCAAAGCTGAATATGAAAAGCTGCATGAACTAGTAAAACAACATTTCAAATGGCAGCCAACGCGTGACGCTGCTCTCTTCAGATGACCAAAGGGCACTAGCTATACTCAACTCTACGTGCAGGAAAATCGACGACAGGTATGAAGTCAGTTTATTTTGGCGACATGAGGAAGTTAAATTACCGAACAGTTACGAGATGGCTCGTAAACGCTTAGTGTGTCTCAACAACAGATTCCGAAAAGACCCTTACCTCAAGGAGGCTATGCAGAAACAGATAGACAATCTTCTAACTAAAGGTTATGCGAAAAAGTTGAGCACCGTAGGGTTAGCGGAACACAAAGGACGCGTTTGGTATCTGCCTATATTCGTGGCACACAACCCAAACAAACCTGCTAAAGTCCGACTTGTTTGGGACGCAGCAGCAAAAAGCAACGGTATGACGCTTAACGACGCTATACTGTGTGGACCCGATCTTCTTATTCCTCTAGTAGATATATTGTTGGATTTCCGTGTTGGTAAAGTTGCCATATGTGGTGACATCGTGGAGATGTTTCACCAAATTAACGTTAGCGACAATGATATGCACGTCCAAAGGTTCCGCTGGTTGGACGAGGACGACGACATTTCCAAACCGAGTGTGTACGTCATGCGCGCCCTCACTTTCGGCATTAGCTGCGCCCCATGCATTTCTCATTATGTGCGTGACAAAAATGCAAATACTTTCTTTGAGCAGTTTCCCAAAGCCGTTGATGCAATAAAAAGACGCCACTACGTGGACGACTTTATTTATAGTGAGAACACCGAACAGGACGCCATAGAAATTGGGAAAGCAGTGAAGCATATACATGCCTCAGCTGGGTTTATTATCCGCAATTTGCCATCAAACTCCGCTGCAGTTCTCGAGGAAATGGACGGAGGCCGCGCTAGGGCCCAGGCACCATTAGAGTTGAATTCAAGCGAAAATTTTCTTGGTGTATACTGGGATCCCAACAAAGATGTGTTTAAATATGCATTCAGGTTTGCAAGGCTGAAGCGGAACGTCGTAGAAGCCGATACAACACCAACGAAACGTGAAATACTGCAGGTTTTGATGTTAATTTTTGATCGTCTAGGTTTTTTATCGCATTACACAATTACTTTGAAAATACTGCTTCAAGAGATAAGGCGCTCGCGCTTAGGTTGGGATGAGGAGATCGATGATGTCATGAATGTAAAATGGCGGCAATGGAAGAACGGCCTAGCAGCTATGTCCTCTGTAGAAATATCTAGATGCTACTCACTTTATCTAACCGTTGCTGAGGATGTCCAATTGCATACATTCGTAGATGCCGGCGAATATGGCTACGCAGCGGTGTGCTACCTACGTGTCAAAACTGCTACTCATAGATGTGTGTATTATAGCTGCTAAGTCAAAGGTAGCTCCTCTAAACCCGGTATCCATTCCACGACTGGAACTGCAGGCAGCGGTACTGGGCGCGAGGCTGTCTTCAAAAATTCAGCATATACAACGACTAAAAATACAGAGAAAAATTGTCTGGACTGACTCAACAACTGTGTTGAAGTGGCTAAGCATGGAACCTCGTCAATTCCGCCAATTTGTAATGTTCCGTGTTGCAGACATCCTGGAGCACACGAACCTGAACCAGTGGAAATGGGTTCCATCCCTACTTAATCCTGCGGACTTGGCGACTAAAGTCGACACCAAAACTAATAACAGCATCTGGTTTAACGGGCCCACATTTTTACAAGACGACGAAAGCGAGTGGCCGTACCGAGAAGACTTGGGACCGATAGACAACAGCGAAGTTAAAAACCACGTGCTCCTCGTACATATCCAGAAACTAGACCAGAAGAAACTCGTAAACTTTGAATATGTTTCAAGTTGGAAAAGGTTGTATCGTGCTTTCGCAACATTCATTCTCTACATAGAAAGGCTCAAAGCAAAGGTTCGCTCAACAAAACTTCCCGATGAGATCAGTTTTGAGATGATTGAAATAGCAAAGAGGACATTAATAACTCAGGCACAGCTTAGCGAGTACGTGAGTGAACTTCTTTACTTAAAAGATGGTAAGAGTAAACTAAAAGCACTCAATGTATTTGAAGATGAGCTCGATGTTATACGAGTTAGAGGCCGAGATGAATTCCTGTCTGCTCGTAATGCTATCGTTTTACCTAGCAAACACTACCTCGCCCACCTGATAGTCAAAGATTTTCATGAAAGATACCACCATCTATCACACGAAACAGCTATAAACGAAATAAAAGGAAAATTCCATATACCTCGTCTGCGCGTACTCTATAGAACGGTGTGTCGGAACGTGCAAGAACAGATGTGCAAAACCTCGCGATCCGCAAATGGCTCCCTTACCCGCCGCAAGACTTGCTTGCTTTGAACGACCTTTCAGCTATGTTGGGATCGACTATTTAGGGCCTATGATTGTTGCTGTTGGTAGACGCCGAGAAAAACGTTGGGGCGTTATCTTTACGTGTCTCATGGTTCGTGCCGTTCACATCGAGATCGCCTACAACCTCGACACGAATTCATGCATCTTATGCCTTCGAAACTTTATCTCACGACGTGGAGTACCCAGAGAAATCTACACCGACAACGGCACAAACTTCAAAGCGACCGAGAAGATTTTACGTACCGAGGCAAATGACATGGACTATGCAGCAATTCAATCTAAGTTCGACGACATCAAGTGGAAGTTCAACCCACCAGCAGTGCCTCACATGGGAGGAGCTTGGGAATGCCTAATAAGGTCAATCAAAGCAGTGCTAAACGCAATGCACCCCGAACATAATTTTAACGACGAAACACTTCGTAGCGCACTCCTAGAGGTCGAGTTTATAATTAACTCGCGACAGCTCACCTTCGTATCTATAGATGCATGCGACGGTGAAGCAATTACGCCGAACCACCTCTTAATCGGCTCATCCACGGGATATACGCCCATCGGTAGTAGCGAAAATTTGCACCAGCGCTATCGTCAAACCCAATTGTATGTTGACAGGTTCTGGCAAATATGGATAAAAGAATATCGGCCGATGTTAACGCGGAGATCCAAATGGTTTAACAAGCAGCCCAACTTAAAAATCGGCGACGTCGTTTTAATCGTCGATGAGTCTATGCCGCGAAACTGTTGGCCAAAAGGCGTCATAGTGGACGTCGTCCTAGCAAACGACGGTCAGGTCCGACGAGCAACTATAAATATGGCACGCGGAACTCTAGTGCGACCTGCAACAAAAATAGCCGTGCTATACGTCGGTAATCCAAAGAAGTCAGCTTGCTTACGAGGGGAAGGATGTTACCGCCGTTCCATTAGGGTACTTTTAAAGTAATTTGCATATTATCCCTAGTGGGTACTTGTACATACATAATTTCACTACTGTAAATTTCCAAACATACATAAGTATTCATTTCATTGTTTTGTCATTTTGAAACGGTAAAATAAGAAGTCAAGAAAGAATTTAAATAGATTAACGTTTAAATATGCGAGTTCAGTTCGCACGCAAATGCTGATACAAATATTTTTAAAGTAGTTTAACATAAAATACACATCATTACTACTGTGAAAAGTTGTTTCATTGAAAGCGAACTCCTGAAATTACACCCCTATTTAAAAAATAGCGATTCAAGCACAAATGAACTCTGTGATGGGAAACCAAAAAAAAAAAAA